CCTTCAGGCCCAGGCCGCCCTTGAAAAAGAGATCTGAGATCTCAATGGGATTTGCCTGGTAAAATAACAGTAAATAAGAGTGTGTATGTGAACTATTTTTCTTTTTTATTATGTTCTTCTGGTACAGTGCTAGATCATATGACACAACTCCYTCAAAGAGGTCATGACCTAAACAGGGTGGCTGACCAGTCTGTGATACATGGTAGGACTTAAGGGTATTAAAGACAGAGTTTACCTTTATTCCTCTCACTTCTGGGATGTTTTTAGCCTGAAGTTCAGCAACAGCTGTGTCATATGTCTCTGGAGTGCGTGGAGGACCACAGGCATTCAGATCAGTCTCAAACTCTCTTCTTGCGACTTCACAGTACCTGCARAAATATTGAGAGCGGCTGAAGTTCTCTGTAAACCCACCTATGCAATGAGAACCCAAGTTATCCCCAGCAATGCAGTACAGACCCGCTTTTACAGTTTCTCCCTCTACATTTATTCCACCTGTTTCTAAGGATTTCAGATCTGCCAACAACTCTGAGAAAACTTTGTCTATTCCAAAACATTTAAGGTCATTCTCAACACACAAAGTTTGAACACAAATTAATGGGTAGATTTGCTACTGAAAGATAGACTATAACAACTTTGTGTGTCCTCTTAGCAAAACCCAATGATTCACAATTTCAAATGAATCTTTTCCCAAAAACACAGCATACGTAGCCATTCCCAAGTATAAGGGACTTGTCACTGGAAAGCCTCGATAAAACACTGATTTCTCCTCTGATGATGAGCGCTAGTGTCATGGTAGCAACATGCTATGTGTTTACATCCATTGCTGCCATGTTTGTAATGACTTATTGCGAGAACAAATGTATTCACGCGTGACTTTAATAGCATTTCTTACTTAATGGAAAAACTGCAGTTGCGAAACTGTGTTTTTCGACATTAACAGAATATCGAAAAAGCTTTGCGCACATTTGCAATGGAAASGCAGCTACTAGGAGAGACTGTCACTTGTGAGAATGTGTCGGGGTCTGCCGCCAACAAGGAGCCAAAAAGGCTATTGGTTGTCTCAGAAATCAGCTCAGGGACAGGACCTTCAGTAACCAAGAGAGACCCTGAAGACTCAGAAAGCACAGAAGCTCAGCTAAGATCCTCTGAGCCTATGCCAGGATCCTCTGGTGGCATGCTAGGAGGCCGACTGGCCACAACATCCTWGCTCTATTGGCCCAAACGTTTCTTGGCATGAGGAGGAGCACTGAAGGATCAGCAGTGATCCTCTTGTAAGAAATACATGTTTTAATATCGGCTGAAATCAGAAGAAAACACGTGTTAAATAAAATAATCTGCGATAGGAAATAATGTCATACAACACCAGAATTCTGGAGTGAGGTTTTTATTTGCCACCAGACTGACAAGCGAAACCACACTGACTCAGAAACAGGACGTCACCTGTTAAATACATTCCAGTATCTTCAATGCCTGAGTTCGCCCTCTGCTGGCCTACGGCTGAATCACAGGCATTCAGACAAACAAACCTCACTCTCTATGTAATTACAGCTTTACCTTATTTATATGTGTTGTTTAATGATTCAGACATGTATCTACTCTATTTTAATTAACACATAATAT